GCGAGCGCCGATAACTGATGATGCTCGCAACCCTCCCACGCCCTTGCTGGCTTGGCAATAGGCCCAGACAAGCGCAGCCACGTGACCCGGCGGAAGAAAACGCTCGGAACAAGCGCTTCCAACCCCAAAGCGCGGAAGGATCCGCACATGTGCAGAAAGTGCAGCGGGCGCTCTTCATTCGCGAGCGCCGATGGCCGAAGATGCTTGCAACCCTCCCACGCCCTTGCTGGCTTGGCAAAAGGCCCACAAAAGTGCAGCCACGTGACCCGACAGAAGAAAAGCGCTCGGAACGAGCGCTTCTAGCCCTAGAACGTGGAAGGATCCGCACAAGTGCTGGAAGTGTAGCGGACGCTCTTCATTCGCGAGCGCTGATCACCGATGATGCTCGCAGCCCTCCCATGCCCTTGCTGGCTTGGCAATAGGCCCAGACAAGCGCAGCCATGTGACCCGGCGGAAGAAAAACGTTCGAATCGAGCGCTTCTAGCCCAAAAACAAGGAAGGATCCGCACATGTTCATGAAGTGCAGCTGGCGCTCTTAAATCGCGAGCGTCGATGACCGATGATGCTCGCAACCCTCCCACGCCCTTGCTGGCTTGGCAATAGGCACAGACAAGCACAGCCACGCGACCCAGCAGAAGAAAAACGCTCGGAAGGAGCGCTTCTAGCCCAAAAACGCAGAAATATCCACACATGTACAGGAAGTGCGGCAGGCGCTCTTCATTCGCGAAAGCCGATGACCGATGATGTCCGTAACCCTCCCACGCCCTTGCTGGCTTGGCAATAGGCTTAGAAAAGCGCAGCCACATGACCTGGCGGAAGAAAAACGCTCGGGACGAGCGCTTCCAGCCCCAAATCGCGGAAGGATCAACACATGTATTGAAAGTGCAGCGGGCGCTCTTCGTTCGCGAGCGCCGATGACCGATGATGCTCGCAACCCTCCGACGCCCTTGCTGGCTTAGCAATAGGACCAGACAAGCACAGCCACGTGACGCGGCGGAAGAAAAACGCTCGGAACGAGCGCTTCTAGCCCCAAAACGCGGAAGGATGCGCACATGTACAGGAAGTGCAGCGGGCGCTCTTCATTCGCGAGCGCCGATGTCCGATGATACTTGCAACCCTCCCACGCCCTTGTTGGCTTGGCAAAAGGCACAGACAAGCGCAGCCACGTGACCCTGCGGAAGAAAAATGCTCGGAATGGGCGCTTCCAGCCCCAAAACGCGGAAGGATCCGCACATGTGCGGAAAGTGCATTGAGGGGAAATGAAGTGGGCCCCTCCATGCGTGGGGACTGGAGTTGCAGTCCCAGCTGGGGGACTGGAGCTGCAGTCCCAACGCAGGGACTGGAGCTGCAGTCCCAGCGCGGGGACTGGAGCTGCAGTGCCAGCGCGGGGACTGGAGCTGCAATCCCAGCGCTGGGACTGGAGCTGCAGTTTTAGCTCGGGGACTGAAGCTGTAGTCCTAGCGTGGGGACTAGAGCTGCAGTGCCAGTGTGGGGACTGGAGCTGCAGTTCCGCCCTGCTCTGCCCTGTTCTGCCGTGCTTTGTGCGTGCATGTGATTGTGTTGGGGCACAGGGAGTCGGTGCAGCAAGCGATGACTCTTGAGTCAACTCAGAGGCCGCCCTGCTCGCCATGCTGTGAGCGTGCAGGTGATTCTATCAGGGTGCAGGGAGGCGGTGGAGCAGGCGATGAAGCGTGCGGATAGGAGTCGCTTTTGAGAATTCTTGATCGTGCTGTGTGCGTGCAGGTAATTCTGTCGGGGCGAAAGGAGGCAATGCAGCAGGCAATGAAGCGAGTTGAGGGGTACCAAAAGCAGTTGCAGGAGCGCGGTGTGCTGCTGGTGCCCGTGCTGCAGAGCAAGGGTGGAGGCGTGCTGGTAGAGAGCAAGAAGAAGGGCTTTGCTGCCGTCAAGAAGCCTGCTGCTACACTGGAATCCCTGGTGAGACGCAGCTGTAGCGACTGCTAAGCTGGTCCGTTGTTGGTGTGCTGGCTCCTTGAATCTACTGTCAGCTCCTTCAGTTGTGCATATGTCCTCTCTAACGCTGGCTGGCTGCTGCAGTCTCTTCTACGCCCAGTTATTTCCTATTCCCAGGTAGCTCCATTGCTCAATCTTCTGAAATTGTTTCCCAGTCGATCCTTTGTTCCTTCCCAGTCAACTTGGTCCACCTGACCATCTGTGTGCGAACGGTAGGATGAGTTTGAGGAGAAGGCGAGGGAGGCGGCGGCGAAGAGAGTGGCGGAGGCGGTCAGACGGCTCAAGGCTGAAGTGGTGTCACCTGGGGAGTGGGACCAGTGAGTGGGATGGGGGAAAGGGGTGGGTTAAGGTGGGAAGGCAGGGAAACCACTTGGCGAGGGAGGCGGCTGCAAGAGAGTGGCGGAGGCGGACAAACGACTCAAGGCTGAAGCCGTGTCGCCCGGGGAATGGGACCAGTGAGTGAGGGAGGGAGGAGTTAGGGGAAAAAGAAGGGCGACCACTAGGCGAGGGACAGGAGGGAGTTGGATTGGTGAGAGGTAAAGCACATGAACATTCTGTATGTGCACACACACATACAGCTTGTTTGCCAGACTGCATGTGCATGCTGTCCTTATTCAATGACCAACTCATGTGCACTACCCCTCCTTAACCCAACCGCATCATTACACATGGTACATTTGTAGATGAAGTAAAAGAATCATGCTAGATAAAGGACTGCTGAGGAATGTCATTTGTAAGCTGTTTAAGTCACTTATTAATAGATTTATTTCAGCACTAGTAAGGTACCCATAGTTAGCTTGCTTTGTTTCGATATATAAATATATATGGCAAAAGTGAAAATGCCACAAGCACGCTGACGACACTGAAGCGAAACTATTGAAGGGAGCTTGGCGCGCTCTGGTTGTTTGTCTATGCGGAGCGAGCCATCTTCCTGCTGGCTACGGCGCGTGACTGGCGGCTGATGTAGTTATGATGGAGAGATGGACGTCCACCATTGGTTGTTCTTTTCCTGACCGCGACAAGCAGAACTTAGGCAATTGGATTGGCTGCGTTTACACGATTCCACACCGAATGCTCTGCCCGCCCAATCATATCGTAACTACGAAGGCCTGCCTTCCACAAAGATCTTCCCACAAAAAATGCTCCCAAGAACTGGAATTTCTGCGGATGAAGTGTGCTTTAGAAATTTTGGCAGGGAAACCTCAGGAGAAGCGAATCAATCTCAGGCGTCAAATGGAACGAAACGACCCGAAGCGGCGTTTCGTAGACGTATGAGGATCACCGAGAATTCCGTGTGACCACAGCGTTCAGGTCAACTTCAGAGTGGTGGGATGGGTGTGTGGTGTGGGTGGAACGAGATGGGGGTGAGATGAGCTGTTCTAGTGTGCCCCTCTCATCCATGCATGCTTGCCCAGGCTGTCTGTGTGACTGGTGGCAGATTCAAGCTCGCCGCCACCTTGGGATTATCCAGACTGACCTCTCCGCAATCCATTTCTTGTCATTCATTTGTGGCTGCTTCAACAACTCTCCAAGCCCAGCTCGTCGCTCTCTACTTTCTTTCGACCTTTCTTTTTACGTCAGCAACGGCATCTCACTATCGAACGCGTGAACTGCTCTTTCTTTCGTCCTCCGGCTTTTGAAGTGCCGGCCCAGCGGATATTACGACGTCGTAAACGCAGACTGGACAGGTCTTGAGCAAAAGCACACTTGCAGCTGAAGCGCGGTGAACGGAGCAGGACACAGCCATGTCTTCCTCGGCTTCGTGCTCGCTCTCCTCTCTCGCCGTCGCTTCTCCTACCCAAACCGACACACCGCACCACTGCCCAGTCAACTCATTTCCAGACCGCTCTCTCAAGCCGTCACTCCGTAGTCCGCTTCCGCGTCCCGCCTCGCCGTGCTTTCACTCCGGCTTGCTTTCAGTCAGACCGGCGTTCACCCAGCGTTACCGTGGCAGACTGAATCCGTCAGTGCCGTCAGCATCCTCCCAGCACACGCTGCCAGCGTCCTCCCGGCATTCTCACTCGACTGAACGAGGACGAAATCATGCTCATGCTGGCAAACACCGGTCATCTATTGAAGAAGGTCGAACGGTGGTATCTCCAGCTACCGACGCCGCATCCCTGCAGGGGTCCGTTCAAGACAAAAGACCTGCCACGTCACCAGGATCTGTTCGATCCGTCGCTAACGGCTGGGATGAGCTGGATAATCTGGAGGACATGACGGTGAGGCGGAGCGCGCGGAGTAGCGGGGGAAGTAGGGGAAGCGGGGCGCGGAGGACCGGCAGTGCGCGGTTCCGGGCGGAGGAGCTGCGCCGGAAGCATCGGGAGCGGAGCCAGGCGCAACAGGCACGGCAGGTGCGGCAGCAAGGGCAGCAGCAAGCGCAGCAGCAATCGCAGCAGCAACGGCAGCAGCAACAGCAGCAGCGGCGATACTCCGAGGCCGCGCGTGCATTTGAGCCGGAGGTGATTTTCGAGGGGCCTAACGAGGGCGGCGAGGAGTGGAAGCGTGCCGCGGGCCGCGTGTGGGAATGGATTGCTGTGAAGAGCGGAAGCGGCGGCGGCGGCGGCGGCGTCGGCGCTTGGTCGTTCTTCGAGCCGTTGTCTGCGAAATATTATGCTGGTAACATTTCGCCCGGTTCCGAGGGAGCTTTCGCGGATCTCGTGCTGCTCGCGATCTTTCGCGTAGTCCGCTTCTTCCGCCGAGCGGCAGCGTCGCTCAGCGCCACCATCGTCGCCGCGCTACCGTCGACTTCCCAAACGACACTGGTGAGTCATTTCGGGTGCTTCGTACGTCTTTCCGCGGTGCTTCGTGTGTCATATTGCGGTGCTGAGTGGTCAAGGCAGTTTAAACACCGAACCTCGTCTTCTCCCCCTACCCTCTCATTGTTCGTCGTCAGATTAAGGCCGTAGTGGACGGCGCTCTGCTGCTCTCAGGAGTGTGGCTGCTGCGAGGCGTCTTCGAGGTGAGATTTCTGTTTTCGAGGCTCTCAGGATTTCTGCCCTCCCTCCTTCCGCTCCCACGAAACGCTCATGCCGCCCTGGTTCCTGTTGTCGTTCGTGACATCGGCGGGTATCAGCGAAAGCATACTTTCCTCCCCCTTTACCACCCCCCCAAACCCCATGTTTTCTTCTGTCGCTCTGTCCCTCTCTCCCTCATCGCGCATTTCTTCTTCAGTTTCCCGCCATCTCTTCTCGGGCTGTGTCCAAGACTTCGTCCGTCCCTTTTCTCTTCTCTCCCCGGCCATCCCTCACCAGTTCACATGGCGTCTGGGCTCCATCGCGCTCCTCTCTCTCCTCCCCGCCCTCGGCGCCATGACCCTCATCTCCGCCACCAACTCTCCGCGCCAACCGCACTCCGCGCCCTTCCCCGCGCACCCGCGCGCTCCCCCATTCGCCTCCGCCCCTCCTCCCCCTCCCCCTTCTCCGCCACCCCAGGGCCGCCGCCAGCCCCCCTTTTCTGGCGTACCGCCCGTCCCTGGTAGAGTCGCTTCCGTCAAAGCAGATTATAGCGTGTACAGAGATAACGCATCATGGCACGAGGGAGACCGGTACACTGCAGGGGAGGGATTCAGTAGGCGGAACGGGCGATTTGAGCGGTGGGAGGGGGTGAGCGACGACGAGCTGGGAATTGGATATGCGTCGAACGGATATGCGTCGGATGGGGACAGCGAGAGTAGCCTGAGCGGAGTAGCCAATGGAATCAGCCATAACGGAGCAGACGCAGAGATAAATTTGAACCCTAGCATCGATTCGGCTGCTACCGAGACAGTTGGACGAATCGTGGGTGATACCAACCATCGGCCACGAGCAGCTGCTGACGTCAGCGCGTACGACCATAGCGAAGCGGCCGCCGCTGCTTATGGCGCGGATGCTTTCCATTCTGTAAACGGTGCAACTGCTGCTGCTGCCGCCGAACATTCCAATGTACATAATTCTAGGAGTGGTGTGCGCAGCATCCGCAGCAGCATCGGCAGCAGTATCGGCAGCAGGGGCATGCGCGTGTACGAGTGTTGCAACGGCACATGCCCTGCTTGCAGAACGCCCGCGTTTACCAAAGCAGTCCCTGTCGGGGATAGCGCCGCGAGTGGTGTGCCAAGGGCTAATAGACCTGGCAGGGGCAGTGCTCGTAGTAGTGTGGCAGGGGTTGATAGGGCTGGAATGCTGGTTGAGGAGGAAAGTGTAGCGGCAGCTTCAGGTGCAGTCGCAGGTGCAAGTTCAGAGATGAAAGCATGGAACGAGGCCATTGTCGCTAGTGCTTCGCCCCTAGGCCCTACTTATGGGGATGGTGCTCCTGCTGCTTCCGCTGCTCGTAGCGTGGGCGGGTTTCACGACGTAACCTCTGCTTCCCCTGTGCCAGACGAATATTTCTCATCTGCGCTGCCCGATTCTGCTGCTCATGCTGACGCGGCCAGAAGGCTGGAAGCCGTCCGATTGGACCTCAAACGCCACGTGGCTACTGAATCTGCTCGTTCTACTGCTGCTGCTACTGCAGCGCCGCCTGCTGTTACCCCCGCAGCTGCTGCTGGCAGTACCGCCGGGGAAGCTAAAGTCTTCGACCCACTTGCAACAGCAACACCTACAGCACCAGCAGAAGCAGCAGCAGCAGCTGCAGCAGCAGCAACCGGAGTGGCAGATCTCAGTGCAAATGCATCAAGATGGGAGGAGGGCGTGAGCGGAGAGGACGATCTGAACCTCAACGCGGTCTTCCTTGAGAATTTCTGCGAGTGGCCGCTCAGACGCGTTGCTGTGGCTGCTGCTGGGAGCAGGGCGGACCCGGCCATACGAACGGATAGGGTGGGGCGGGCGGGCAGGGCAGACCGGGTGGGGCCTGTCGTGGGGAGAGGAGGTGCGGGAGGCGAGAGCAGGGTGGCGCCTGTGGGTGCGAGTGGTGCTATGCAGCCAGGGCAGTGGGATGTGCGCAGCAGTGCGGTGGGGGGAGAGAGAGAAGGGATAGCTCAGGGCAGCAAGAAGAGTGTTCCTGCGGGGGCTGGCTTGGGTCTGAGCCTGGACTCGTTTGGGTTGGATTCGCTAGGGTTGGATGCGCTGGGATTTGATGCGTGGCAGGCGTTCATGTGGGCGTCTGACAGGATCTATGGCAGCAGCTATGGGGACTATAGCTTTCACCGGAGGCAGGGGGGGACAGGGAGAGCAGGGGGGGCTGGGGGAGCTGGGGAGCAGGGGGAGCAGGGGGGATTGGGGGGGCAAGGGGACATGGGTTGCTGGGAGGAGAACGAGGGCAGCAGCAGGCAGGACAGGGGGGTTTGCCTGGCAGCGGGAGGGGTATGCCTGGCTGGGGTATGGGAGGTGTGGGTGGGATGGTGGGGATGGGAGGAAAAGGAGGTATGCCTTTGACGGTTTCCCAAGGGGAGAGGCAGCAGAGCGGTGGTTGGTCAGGAATGAGGTCCAGCAGCAGAAGGCAAGGAAAGCGCTCTGAGTGGGACTTTGACCTGAATAGCATGCCGTGATGTGGCGCCACCAGTTTGTGCCTGGGAGTGCCCCAGCAAGCACCGCATGCCATTATGTGCCACCGCCACAGCATGCCCTGATATACTCTCGGTCGTTCACCAAAGCACGCCATTGGTTTGGCTGTGTGACATGCTAGTAGTAGCTACCTCAGCTGCTTCATGGATGCAGGTTGGTTGGTTACACACGGATATATACATACGGGCTCACTCAAAGAAAAATGCTCATTTTTGGGATTCAGGTGGTTTGGGCAAAGTAGAATTTGGCAGGTGGTTTCGTGCATTGGACAGTTATGTCTCTCTCGATTTTTCATTTCTGGTCTGTAGCAGATTTAAGGACTTGTAATTTCCATGTAAATGTGATGTGATCTCGAATATTTACTAATAAAGAATATATCGGAGACAAAGTTTCACTGTACGTATGTCCAGTTTACCCGACCTACAATGTCACATCACCAATCCAAGCTCGAGGGATCAAACTGCCGAAGCACTTTTTGCCAGTTCAGCGGTTGGGTGTCAGGTTAGGTGGGCCCAAGCCAAGCCATTACATTTGCTAGAGTCGCCGCCACTGACAGAATTTCTCTGTATCTCTTTCCTCGTACGTCTGTCTCGCATCCACCAGACTCCGGCAATGCCTAGTGCGTGCGCGAAACCGGTACTCTCGTTACGCGTCGACGCCGGTAGGACTAGTCGTACCGTATTCCACCGTACCGATTTCGTTTTGTCAATGCACTGATCTGGACGCGTTTGAAGCAGTTTCGATTTCAACATGGCGTCAAGTGGGGGAGGAAGCGGAGGCGGTAGGCCGCTCGCTTTCCTAGAAGACATGAATCTTCCCGCGCCGGAAGCGGCGGAGGAAGATCGCGCGGGAGGCTTCTCCGCGCATCCGCTTCCGCAGGGAGTTTCCGCCGCTCCGCCAGCCAGTTCCGCGCAGCCTATCATGGCCAATGCGTCATCCACGCAAACTGCGCTCGCGCAGGCGCCGTTCCCCGCGCAGCCTCCCCCGTCCGCCGTTGCGCCGTATGCTGTTCGACCGTCCGCGTATCCCGCATCAGCAGCCACCCCGCTGCTTTCCATCCCCGCATCCTTTCCGTCCGCTTACGGTGCGCAATCCGCTTCCGCCGGTTCCGCTCTCCCCGTTTCTGCTTTTTCCGCTTCGGCCTCTGGACTAATGCAGTCACAGCAGCAGCAGCCGCAGCAGATACAAGCAGGTCAGCAGCTATTTCAGCAGCAGCCGCTGCAGTTTCAGGCGCAATATCAGGGAGGACCATTACAGTACCAGCAGCAGCCGCAGCCGCCGCAGCAGCAGTCGCAGCAGCAGTCGCAGCAGCAGCAGCAGCAGCAGCAGGCGCAGTTTTTTCCACAACCGAGCCAGTACCAGCAGCAACAGCAGGGTGTGCAGTATCAGGCGCAGCCGCAGCAGACGCAGCCGCAGCAGTTTCTACACACACCGTACCAGCAGCAACCAACACAACAGCCACCACAGCAACAGCAGCAGCAGCAGCAGCCCGGAACCTTATGGGCCAGCACACCAGGACAAGGAAGCACTGTAGCAATGGGCGGCCAGGGCACTGTAGCAATTGGCGGCCAGGGCACTGTAGCAATGGGCGGCCAGGGCACTGTAGGCATGGTGGGCCACAGTGTGTCTGGTATGAGGCCTATCCCCATGCTGGGCGGCCAACTGCTATCCCACCTCTCCTCCACTACTCCCCAGCTATCTGCTAACCTAGTTCGTTCCCCACAACCCCCTTTCCCCCTTGCTTTCCCCTCTACCTCCGCTCCGCTTAGCTCCGCGCCTTCCCCCTTCCCCATGCATTCTGGCTTCCCCCCCGCCTTTCAGCAAGCGGGAACGCTGGTGCCGAGCCAAGCGCCGAACCAGCTGCCAAGCCAGCCCATGGCTCGGCCGCATTATGCCCCTGTGGTAGGCCAATCAGGGCAGTCCACGTCAGCAGGACAGTCCACGGCGATACCTCTGCTAGGCCAAGGATTGGTTCCTCTTCCTTTTCCGAGCACTGTAGCAGCCGGCACTGTAACGCACAGTGCTGTAGCACCGGTCCGTAGCTGCTCCTACCTCTGCTGCTACAACTGGTCTTCTCTGCATGCCCTCTGCTGCACCAGCAGCAGCACCACCACCAGCAGCAGCTGCGAGCAAGCCAGCAGCAGCGTTTGCAGGGCTGGATCTAAACGCCTGTCCAGATGACGCCACTTCCCTCTCCTCGCCCACCTCCCTCACTGCACCCGCTGCTGCCAGTGCGGATGCACCTGCTGCTACAGCTGCCGCCACAGGCCCTGCTGTTACAGCCGGTCCTGCTGCGGCCGTTCCGCAAAACGTCTCCTGGGTTTGCACCTGGGATGGGGGGAGGGGTGCGAGGTCCCATGGGGCTGGTGCTGCCGCCTCAGTACAACGTTCCCCCCTTGGGAACTGGCGCTCACTATAGCAATGCTATGGCAGCAGCAACAGCAGCAGCATCAGCAGCAGCGCCCATGACAGGAGCACCACAGTACAGCGTTCCAATGGGCCCAGGCGTGCCTGTGACTGCGCCCCATCCCATGGCCTCCCAATTCGCTCCACCACCCCATACCGCCCCCCACGTGCCTTCACCACTCCTTACCACGCCCCACGTGCCTGCACCACTCCATACCACGAGTCACTCAGCTGCGGCACACTCACACGCTCACCACATCCGCTCAGGCCCGCCCCATCTGCCTCTCCATGCCGCCCGCACTGCATGCTGTGCCGCCCGTGACTGCCGCCCTTGCTCCCCCTGCCACCCTTGCTCCACCTGCTGCCCCTGCTGCTGCTCCGCTGCTGTTCAATCCGCAGCCACTGCTGGTGCTGGTTGCGGAAGCAGCGGTGGTGGTGGTGGTGCTGCTGCTGCTAGTGGTGGTGGTGGTGCTGCTAGTGGCGGTGGCGGTGGTTTCGGGTTTGAGTTGGATCTGAACGCAGCCATTGGACGAGGATGAAGGTGATTGCTCAAGGTCAGGAATTGACGGCCAATTGATGGTCAGCTTGACGCTCAGTTTGATGCTAAAGCACGGGGTGAAGCGGAGGATGAAAGAAAAGTAAAAATTGGACGTGAACGCTGTAAGATGGTGGAGCTGACTCAGCGCAAGGTGGTGCTGACTCAGCGCGAGGTGGTGCTGACTCAGTGCGAAGCGGTGCTGACTCAGGCCGGGACCACAGCACGGTCACTGATGCGAAGCGGTGCCTGCTCTGAGTGGTGGGGCGGAGAGAGGGTGGGAGGAGGAGGAGGGAAGGTGGAAGACGAGGGTGGGGCAGAGGGGAAGGGCGTGGGGAAGGGCGTGGGGAAGGGCGTGGGGAAGGAATCAAGTAGTCCTAGGAGGGATTTCCTGCACGATCTCAATATGACTCAGGAGGAGGGGGAGGTGGGGCAGGAGGAAGGCGAGATGGCGCAGGAAGAGGGGCAGGCGGGGTTGGAAGAGGGGCAGGCGGGGTTGGAAGAGGGGCAGGCGGGGTTGGAAGAGGGGCAGGCGGGGTTGGAAGAGGGGCAGGCGGGGTTGGAAGAGGGGCAGGCGGGGTTGGAAGAGGGGCAGGCGGGGTTGGAAGAGGGCAGCGAGAGAGGGATGGCGGGTGGGCAGGGAAGGGGAGATGATGGGAGAAGGAAGGGGTTTATGGTAGATATGAATATGGCTCTGGATGGGGGGGAGGGTGGGGAGGAAGGGAGTGTGGGGGGAGTGGCAGGGAGTGAGGGGGTGGAGAGTGAGGGTATGGAGAGTGAGAAGGTGGAGAGTGTGGGGGTACCTGGTGGAAATGAAGGAGGGGACTGGGAAGTTAGGGCAGGTGAGGAGGGGAGGAAGGAGGTGGGTGAATCAGGCGAGGTGATGAGAGTGGAAGGGCAGGAGGCAAAAAGGGGTGGAGGAGAGGAGGGAGGGGCGGAGGAGGAAGAGGAGATGGGGGTGGTGGGGCTGCTGGGACTGGCAGAGGCACTGGAAGGAATGGCTGCTGGCGCTGCTGGTGATGATGGTGGTGGTGATGCTGATGCTGATGGTGGTGGTGATGCTGATGCTGATTCTGATGGTGCTGCTGACGATGCTGCTGGTACTGCTGGTGCTGATGGTGGTACTGGTGCCGCTGGTGGTGGTGATGGTGCTGAGATGGCTGCGATTCCCGCTGCTGCCGCCGCCGCTGCTGCAGTTGCCGGGGAGACCACATCTGGTGGCCGCTCGTCTGCCTCTCCTCCCCCTCCTCCTGCCTCGGGAGCGGAATCCACAGATAATGCAGAGGCAGGGGTTAATGTGGGGCTACAGGGGGGGTTTTCACAGGGGGCAGCAGATGTAGGCATGAAGGGAGACAAGCAGGGGGACACGGAAGGGGAAAAGCAGGGAGGTGCAGAGGGGGACGCAGGGGCAATCAGAGGGGCGGTGCTTGTGGCAGGGAGAGACAGGCAGGGGAGTGCAGAAGGGGAAAAGCAGGGAGGGACAGAAGGGGAGGAGGGAGACGCAGTTGCAAGTGCGGAGGTTGGGGGAGGGAAGAGGTCGAAGAGAGGCGCAGGAGAGGGGGAAACGGGGGTAGGGAGGGGAGAGAGGGGAAGGAGAAGGGGAAGAGGAGGAGGAAGGAGGGGCGATTGGCAACAGTGCCAGGGGAAGCTGGTACTGGCGGTGGTAGGGAGGCAGGTGGTAGGGACGTTGCTGGAAAGGGGACTGATACTGATGGTGGGAAGACGGGAGTGCGAGGAGAGGGAGGGGCAGGGGTGACCGGTGGTGTGGGTGGTGTGCCAGGAGCAGGAGGGGGAGGAGTGGTGGGGGGTGTGGGTGGTGTGGGTGTGGTGCAGAGGGGTGCAAAGAGAGTGAAGGTAGAGGAGGTGGGGGGTGAAGGGAGTGTGGAAGGGGTGGGAGGGAGTGTGGAGGAAGGAGAAGCGGTTGGGAGGGGTGCAGATGGAGCAGTAACTGAAAGGGGGCCAGAGGGCAGTGTAGGTGCCCACGTTGCTGTGGCGTCTGCTGCTGTCTCTGCAGCTGATTCTGCCCTGGCTGCTGCTGCCCCTGCCCTGCTGCTGCTTGCTGCTTCGGCACCTACACCTGCTGCTGCTCCTGCTACTGCGCCTGCTGCTGCTGCTGCTCCTGGTAGTGCTGCAACTACTGCTCCTGCTGCTGCTCCTGCTGCCGCTGCTCCTGCTGCCGCTGCTCCTGCCCCCCTTCCTGCTGCTACTTTGGGCAAGGAGGCGGGGGCAGTGAAGAGAGAGGAGAGCAGTGGCAGGGAGGAAGGGAGGAGCAGGGAGGAAGCAGGGGAGGAAAAGGGGAAGAGGGAGAGGGAGGAGGAGGAGGAGCTGGCGGGAGCGATAGCGGGGAGGAAGCTCACCGCGCTGCCCCCTTTCAGCAAGGCCGAAGGTGAGTTCAGGTTTGAGACGACTCATTGGGGAAGAGGGAGCAGGAGGAGGGAGAGGGAGGAGGAGTTGGTTGCAGCGATAATGGGGAGGAAGCTCACCGCGCTGCCCCCTTTTCAGCAAGGCCGAAGGTGAGATGGCGTTGTGATGGTGGGAGATTGTGGTGAGG